TAATATATATGTTCCTGAGTTGTTTAAATCATGCAGTGAATTTTGAAAATATAGTTTTGCAAAACCGGTTATTTCTGTTTAATTCTTTTCTGTCCCTTTTCTTAATAATTAGGACACGTGTCACTGGTAAATATAGAACTAGCCAACCATGAATAATCCCAAACAACAATTTTTTTATTGGTTTGTCCTGAGACTACTTTAACACATAGTAGTCTCAGGTTTGTCATACTTGCTTATATTATCAATTACGTATTGTTTTCGGCTGAGACTACTACATGTATAACAGTTATAGTAGTCTCAGTTTTTGCTTTTTAAATTAGTCATTTAATATATATATATATATATTTTGTTCTTGATTAATAAATTAAGATTGATAATATAATTGCATCATTTTTTAAGCATTATTTATATGACATTTTAATATTTATTTAACGTGCATACCGATTTGATTGGCAAATAACTGTTTAAACACTTGACGCCATATTAATATTATATATGAACATTTCGGAAAAATTAGGCGGATACTTAATCATCGGCTCTCAGGAAGTTTTCTTGTAGGTTAAAAGAAAGGGGAAAATATACATCTAAGTAGTTAAACTTTAAGATTGGTATTCTTTAAATTTTATAACTTTCATTTTCTGGCTTTCTCCTCAATTTTTAAATTATATGGAGAATCAAGTTTTAATGCCAGATCTTTTATTATTTGTTCTGTTAAATCAAAGACATGTAGTACATGTATTCTATTTTCCGGTATAACTTTATTCACAATGATAAAGAAATTAGGGATGATTAAGAAATTGGCATGTTGTGTATGAATGTAGGACAGAAAGTCACAGGACAAAAAGTCACAGACAAAAAGTCACGGACAAAAAGTCACAGGACAAAAAGTCACAATTCAGTTTCGAGATTATATTTCTTTTAACAAGAAAACACTTATTTAAAAAATAAAATTTTTGTTTTTTCTTGAACTATTATATATGAAGCAACTTTGTAATCAAAATTTATTCAATAAATATCAATAATGATCAAATAATTGTTATGAAAACAAAATGTCAAAGTGGCTTGGTACTTAAATGGCTTCATGGTGCCAAGAAATATATCCTTTGCGTGATTAAAATTTAATAAATTTTCATTTATCAAGGCTTATGAACAATTTCCTAAACTTAAAAATGAATATATGTAATAAAAAGAAAATATTTCAAGATCTTTCTTTTATATATTCAAACAATTGTCAACAAATTATTTGTGACTTTTTGTCCTGTGACTTTTTGTCCTATCAAATTTGTGACTTTATGTCCTGTGACTTTTTGTCCTGTGACTTTCTGTCCGTTTACCGTTGTGTATACACCTTTCTATTGGTGAACACTATATATGTTGCCCACTAGCTGTGCTTGTGTGCTTTTTGTTGTTTGATTGCTGTCTCGTTGTCGTTAAACCCACTATAATCTCCTACAGTTTCAGTTCCGTTTGATGTACGTTTAATTCGGTTTAAAACAAACCATATTTGATAGGGTTATTCAATATATATTTCCCTTAAGACTTTGCTCAGAGGAAAGTTATAGAATAGGTTTATATATACATTTTAGTGCAAAGTTAACAATACAAGAAAAAGTTTCATTTTTCAATTTTTAACTCCCCAAAATTTTAAACTATTAATTTTGAAGACGTGTTTCATCTAAACGAAGTCTAAATGGTCACCAACCTACCAGTTTATTGTTTCCTTATTTGACACACACCTACATATAAACCACATTGTAAATACAATTTAATTGGTCGTAGTAAATTCTGTTGAGCACAAAACAAATCCATTTTTTTTTTTAATGAAGAAAAATAATATTTTTTTTTCTTTGAAAGACGGAGTTAATACTTTAAATTACATTGTGCACAAAAAATCCTTAAATCTTCCTAGGAATGAGAAACTCTTTTCTTCATAGAAATGTTTGAAATAGTTTACACTGGACATTAAACACCTTACAATCAATCAACTAAAATATATCCAAGGGATTTTCATTATGCATGTACATGTGCCGGATACCATATACATATATTGAATAATCAATAAAATATAGTGCTGTCAAAAAGAAACATTATCATTAGGATATCAAAATAGTTCAGTTTTTCTTTCAAAATGATTTGCAAACAGTCCTCTCTCCAGAGCATTTTTCTGTCTGTGCTATCGCTCTGTGTGGGTTAATTATTTGAAGCATAAAGTTTATAAATCGATCTCTGAAACACATTATATATATATAGAAGTCAAAGTAAACATTAAACTTATGCATGGCGGAAAAGAAATATACGAAAACGATAGGTGCAATGTGCATGCAGCCTTGCAAATGATATTTAAAAAAAATATATTTAATTTATAAAACTTAGGACTTTAATTTAAGTATTGTTGGAAGTTTCCAGAACATAGAAAATACACAAGAAAATCTATCAGTACTACACTAGTCTATCAAAATGTGCTTGGTGTCCATTTTACAATATATTGTTTAAGAATTTAGTGTTTTCTTATTCATTCTGACATCTGTGTCCCTGGATCTGGACAAGAAATTGCGAAGACGTTATGCTTATCAGTTTACCTTTAAAAAGATTTTTCAACAGAATATTATAAATTTTTTTTAATTTTTGTTTTTTCTTTCCGAAAACAGAATGGCCCTAAAGATAAATGTCATCGTCAGATGTATAATGGAAGGTGATATACACCACCTGCTGGTTCTTTTTACCTGGACACAGATCTTGTTACGTAACAAGTACGAATGTAAAATTATCGATATGGTATATTCAGTCGAATATACACGGTATCTCAGGACTGGGGTATTTAAGATATTTTGATCTGATAATGTATGTATTTTTATTTGTGCTTTATGTAAAAAAAACAGCATTTAACCATTTTATTTTCAAAACTTCTTTAAAATGAGTTAGTTGACTTTGAGCATATATTTATTTTCAAAACCGGAGACAAATCACTAATTTCCAATTATAAACCAATCTCATTATTATCAACAGTGGGCAAAGTATTTGAAAAAAAATGTATTTTATCACTTAATTAGTTATATTTCAAATATACAAAAAGCGTTTTTGTTTCAAGTTCATATTCGCCTTTTGAGAATAATAATGCAGGAGTTCCACAAGGCTCTGTATTAGGTTCCCTACTATTCCTTATTCATGTATATGACATAGCTGGTAATTTGATAAGTCTAACTCGAGTGTGTGCTGATGAAACATCCCTTTCTTATTCAAGTAATAGTCCTTACACAATAGAGGATGTCTTAAATAGCGATTTAGAGCAAATTTCAGCATGGTCTAAGGATTGGTTCATTGATTTTAATCCTAACAAGACAATTACTATGCTATTCTCCTGTAATTCTTCTCCAGATGAAATTAAAATAGAACTTCAATATCAAGTAGTAGAATTGTCTCCTGTCATAAACACTTAGGTATTACTTTTGATTCCAATGGTAAATTCTATACAATATAGAAAACGTTTTAAAGTGTGCAAGCACACGATTAAATTTCTAAAAAAATTGAAATATGTTTTGACTAGGAATTATCTTATTCGCATAAACTTAACACTTATAAGACCAATTATGTAATATGCACGTGAGTCATGGGATGGTTGTAATCAACAAGATTTCGACAATCTAGAACATGACGTTTAGTTGGAAGCAGGAAGATTAGTAACTGGGTTGCCCGTGTTTGCTAGTCCGGAAGTTATATATTTTCAGTGGTATAGGCCGACATTTGGTAGTGAACAGAAGAAAATCCAAAAAGCTCAATATGTTCTATTCTTCACATAAAGTGGGACCACCTCTACGATTTAATGCCACTTTTATCAGTTATAGATAGAATATCAGAAAATCCTTTTTTTCATCTACTATTATCGAATGAAATAGCCTAAACCCCGACATATGTACGTCCAGAACTATGAATATATTTATCTAACTTGATACAGACACAATTGCACGCTATTCTTTATTATTAAGGACAGTTGGTTGGATAAAAGTGATGGATTGCCACGCCTATATTAAAACTGATAGGACGAAAAATGTTGTCCTGCATTTTTCTTTAAATGTAATCTCAATGTAAATGTAGTCCTGCTTTTTTTATGTTACACTCTATGCTGTCCTGCCTTTCTTAGTTATTAATTTTTCCTGAGTTGTTTTACATAAAGTCATCATGCCTTTTCTTTTTGGCAAGATGCCCATACTGCCTTTTTTTCTCTAAACTCCGGTCATGCCTTTTTTTCAATTTTCATACGTCAGACAAACTTCTTCGTGCATGTGACTTCATATTTCAAAAGGGATAAGAAATGTCTTAATTGATAAGTTCTACATTGCATTTAAAAATCCATTGAAAGAATATTGTATAATTAGAAATCATTGTCCGCTGTTGGAAGTCCAGATTCGCCAATTTTTGACAAGCACGATATTTCAGGGGTTTCGATTGTTAAACTCGTTAAATCAAATAACGAAAATATTCCATCTCAACATGAGAAAGAGTAGCTCATTAACCTCCATCAATGTTTATCGTTTATAAGATGTTGTACTTTCAATGCTATTTATAAACGCAGAGTAAAATTTTAAATGTTTGGTACAGTATACAAATTTTAAACTAATCAACTTGAAAATATTCAGAAGACAATGGGAAATATCGAAGAATCATTATTTATTTATTATATTGTAACAATTTTTCTTCACAAAGGCTTATAATGATAAATGAAATCAATGTTTTTGCTGTCAATATTACAATTTATGTATTGCTCTCTGGTGATGAGTCTTTGAGTTCTGACGAAAATTACAGTGTTTTTCTATCTGTACAAAAGTATATAAATGTATCAAGCGTTTTTCTCAACTTTGACAACCTTATTCTGTAACAGATCTTACTAGAACATGATCAATTTATGCTCTTAAGGATACGGTAATCGAATGATCTTTATGATTGACTATTGTATTCTGAAACGTTTCAATGGATTTAATTAAAAAAACAAAATTGATACTTACATTTACGTGTAGATTTATTCCGTTTTCCTATTAATCCGTAACCAGAAAAGCGACTTAATATGTATCACATCATAAACTATGAGTGTATAATTTACATTTAAACAAATTCACACACATGACTTGTCATGTACACTAACATATTTTATTTTACACAGCTCGGTGTGTTTGTATTTATTTCTTCTGAAAATAGGCGCACTTGATTAGTTATATTAAGTGGAACATATATCCAATGATTCGATTCTTAAAATTTATATGTAATTTATTTTTATATCTTCATGCTAAAATAATAATTGGTTAAAGTCAGATATATGTAATGTTCATTCATGTGTATTTTTATGTATGTATTGGAGAAGACGTTACTAAGTTGAAAAAATTGTGTCTAATCCATTTGTCATTTTGGAACAATAAAATACGTTCAAACTAAAGAATCATGATATGAATTTAAAGAAAAGAAGAAAACCAAACACATTTTTTTTTTTATTAAAATTGAAAATCCAACTGATTAAAAGTCGTATTGACCTCTAAAATTCTATCACAGAAAACAATTACTTATAGTGTCTCAAAATGTCAAAATATAGCCCGTTTTATAATCGCGCAGTGGACATAATTGTTATATTTCTATTCAGACATTTCACATTTTATCAACCGTTTCAGAACAATTTTTGAAGATAACGAATCCGTAGTTTCATTGCACATTTAACGCAAAATACATTTTTCAATTCTTTATTTACACTCAAACACAAATATGTGTTACATGAGGACAAATTGTCACGAATGTCTAATCAGGTTTTTCTGTTGTTCAAAGTTTGACGTGCGGTGATGTTTGAACAGTGTTGAGTGTATTTTACATTTGTCCTTTCGGAGCCTTTAATATCTTACTATGCTGTATGAATTTTGCTCATTGTTGAAGGCCGTACAGTGACCTTTGATTGGTCATTTCTACGTTATTCAGTCTCTGGTTAAATTCTCTCATTAGACAATATCCCATCATAGATGATCAGATGTGTTATAAAAAAGAAAACTACATTATCGTATCTCGGATATATATCTATTAAATATAATAAAGAAAACTTTAGTAAGATTGAGTACAACAAAGGCTTTGCCTTATTAAATCCTTGATGCTGTCTCCTTCAGACTGTCAAACACCGTCTACCGTATTGTTAACGTGGTATTATATGTGATAAATATAGATTCTACCACTGCATCGAGTGTGATACGATATTTATCCACTCGAGACAGTTAGATTTTCAAATATTACACGAGATTTGGTGTTGGAATCTGTTTCTCTAATGATTTTCAAACAATATGCAGGCACACTTATTCCTTCTTTTTGAATGATCTGCAAAAAAATGTGTTCTTTCTATGTGACGTCATCAGGCATGGTCACCTTTTTTCATGCCGTCAACAATAGAAAATTCAGAGGAAAGTAAGAAAATTCGACGTCATAATCGGATTTTAACCAATGAAGAACTGAGATCAAACGAACCACACGTTGATTAAATTTTTTTTATACAATGGGTGCAGAAAGGGATAAATTGACGAAGAATTAGAGAAATTGCTGTAAATAATAGTAAACTGAGTATTTATTCACAGTACGCACTTCCTATTTTAGTTGTGGTGATAGAAATCTTAATGTCATTGATACACAGTTGAGAAATATGGTGCAATTATTCAAATGCAGATTTAAACCTTATTAATATTAAACCCAATCCCGCATGCAGATGTGGTCATCCTGTTGAGAATAGTATTCACTATTTTTTAAGTGCCCTTTTATCAACGAAGCAAGAGAAATATTGTTTTCAAAATTAGAAAGATCTACTATATCCATTTTGCTTTTATTAGTGGCTGGTGACGGTGACCTTTCATTTCACCAAAACAAAGAAATTTTTGAGTCTGTACAATCATATATCAGAAATACACTAAGATTTAGAACATTCAATCAAAATTCGGAATTCGTACTTCCCAGCTCTTTACTCTGGTCCAGTTTTATATATTACTCTATATTATATTATACTTTTTGTTTTTGAGACAAGGCCATGCATAATTTGTCAAAAGACAAGCACAATAACCCCAAAGCGAATTGCGAGAAGTGGTTTCGTATTTCGTTATAGAAAAAATACTAATAGTTTATGTAAAATAACGACTCTCGTACGGTGTCGCGTTTATATCTTTTTAAAACATTGGTGCATTTTGATACAAAAAATAATGACCATAAAATGTCAGGTTTGCGAGATCAGACAGTAACCTAGCAACTAAACAATTGAAAATCTAGGGATCAATGTTTAACATTCGTCAGCCATGAGCAATTTTCATAAATAAAACATGATTTAGTAGGATACTTTGCAAGAAAAAAAAAGAGACTACCATAGATTTGTTATTTACCACAAATGCTTAAGGGGGTACAAATCAGTTATTCAGGAGTTACCCTTTTTGCATTACACCACATTACAACAGAAATTAGAAATAGGGCCTGGAAGTATTTCTAAGACATTGTTGTTTTCCTGTTCTATGTAGCTTTCTTTCTGGCAAACACGATGTTAGATTTTATAAATGCTGACAGGCACCGACCATTGAAAAACCATCGATCTGTTTAAAATGAGAAATGAAAATAATTGTTTGTTTTTTGTTGTTTTTTTTTTTTATGGCAAATAAGAAAAATGACCGTTCGATTTAAAATTGTTTAAAATTATTTAGAAATAGATTGATGAAAATAATGTATTTTAATGCGAAAAGGCTAGACTTTAATTTGTGGTGTAGGGATGTGATTGAGTGGTTTTGTTTACAATTATTTCCCATTATTTCCGTAGTGAAAATCTGCAATAATTATTGTTTCATCATGTTGTTTGATTTTCACATTATAACAAAACTAAGAATATGACGGATGAATTTATAGTTAGCTGTTTAATGTCCAGTGGTAACTATTAGATGTATCATTTGGAGGACATTTACAATGTTATAAATATGAACAAGGTCAAGGTATCCTTTGTTATGCAAACATGTGTATCACGGTACAAGCGACGACCTATAGACCGTGTGTATCATATGTATATTTAGGGTGGGTTGCTCTGAATAAAGGAGGTATATATAGATACAGGAAAATAAAGAAAAAAAAACTAAAGAATTAGAATAGAGTATAACAGGCAAAATAAAGAACAGAGGAAAATGGTTTAAGAAAATTAAAGAATAGAGGGAAATGGTCTAGTTTTTTGCCGGACAATCGTTGATGATTGTTTAAAGTCAAGTGCATTTATAGGTAAAATAATACACAATCGTTTGTACATTGGTAAGGATTTATGTTTGAGGTTGATGAGGCACATAATGCGTAATTATTTTTAATTGAAATTTCTCGAATATTTTTTTTTTTTCTCGTCTGATTTGAAAATGAATAAAAAAAATCTATAATCTAAAAAAAATGGTTTAATACTCAGCAGACTGTAGTTTACTCGCACATTCACCAAGTCCGTATTTCTACGGCTAAAAAAATCATAATTGTATCTTTTAATTTGTTTAAATTTATTTCAGTGTTTATTTTTCAAACTTTTTATGTAAATAATGTTGGATCAACATCTAGTCAGATTAAATTATAATTTATTAAATTATTAATTAAAAACTAAAAGATGCATCCAATCTAAATTTTACGCATATTAACACCTATATAAAAAGATTTAACAGAACACAATTCATGTTTTATATTAAAAAAAAACATATACGCGAAACGAAACTATGCACGCCAAGAAACGATGTACGCTTAACGATACGATATACGCTAAACGAAACGATGTACGCTAAACGATACGGTATACGCTAAATGAAAAGATGTACGCAAAACCATACGATTTACGATACAAGGGCGCGTATGTTATCGTTAATGGTATGGTTTAAGGTACATGGTTTCGTTCGTACATCATTCGTTCAGCGTCCGTACAACGTTCGGTCAGCGTTTCGTTTGCATTCGTACACCGTTCGGGAAGCGTACGTACATCGTTCGGGCATCGTCCGTACATGGTTCGGGCATCGTTCGTATTGTTAACTTTTACGTTACACGGACTGTAAGATGTCATGATACAAGAAGTCTAATTGCAAAAGGACTCTTGAATTCAACCTTTTTTGCAGACAGTATGGTCTGATGACCAGTTTTTCACTTTTCAATGGAAAACTTGCATGTAGTTTTAGTCTCAATTGGCATATATTTGAACCACTTACTATCCTAAAGAAGAAAATTATGGTAGCATATGAAATGAATAGAGTGTACTGATCATTGTAAAGTGGTTTTTTTTTTACAGATTTAGTGAAATATTTGTGATGGACTACAGATTTTATGTACAAAGCTCTTCACATTTCACATACATCAAACAGGCCGTTTAACCAGGGACATAAATACAAATATTCTGCACATTTTTTCTGTGATAATCTACCTTTCTTTAAATTCAGAGTTCACAAATGGTTAATTAAATTTGATTTAAGCATAGAAACACAAATATCAGGAACATAAAAAACTGTCAGATAGAAAGTCAGCATGGCTCTTAGACATAAAATGGAAACTGCTTTAAAATGCTTATTTTAGCCGTATAATGCCAAAACGGGACATTTTAACAGAATTTCTGTCAAACAAAGATGTAAATCCTTTACTTTTATTGAGTTTGACAAATTGAAACCAGCAAACCATTCAGGAAAGTTGCCAAAGTACAGAATCTACATTTACGGAATTCATCTCTTAGGCCCGAGAACACAGTTATTTCGTAGTGCATTTCTTTTAGACAGTAAATTCAAATTAAAAAAAATCGCACCTGCTCTATTTCGAAAAGATTTTTACTGTGTAGTGTACTACTATTGATACAAATAATATCAAAATTATAGAAACTTCTACTAGCTCTAACTCAAAATATTGACAATTCTGTGTTAAGGGGGGCTAAAATTCAGTTTGACAGCTTCAGACATTCTAATTTTTGACCTTTTTTAACTGGACCAAATCACTACTTAACATAAAGATTCAGCACCCAAATTTTTTTAAACATGTAATTTCATCCCCTTACTTAATATTTCATGCATAAAATATCAAGAAATAAATTGGGAAAGTGTATAAAAAAAAATACAAGTTATACACTGTTCGCACTAGGGACTATATTCGTAGACAACGAAAACCAAAGGACGATAACTGTGTCCTTGGACCTAATAGGATAGAAAGACTTGACCAA